ATGAAAGGGCTCACCGCCGGCTGCGAAATAAAACAAAACGAATGTCTAGGGGAGACTGTATTCCCCCCACCTTTCCCGAAGAAGGTGCTGTGAAATCAGCTGATTTGCCCATGACATCGGGTATCAGCAAGCCTCTCCTGCCAAGACTGATACCTAAAATGATCAATACCTGTATTAGAGAGAAGGTCCCTGCCACCAACATCAAAGCAAAACAAATCCATGTCTGGGAAAGAGGATGATTAGAGAGAGGGTGTCCTTACCTTTCCTAGGGAATTGGAGTCAAAACCATCTATTTGCCCTCAGTTTTAGAAAGGCAGCGAGCCAGTGTAGAGGATGATCGCAATTCCTACATAGGTTTTAAGAAACCTTCATCAGGATTCCAGTGAAAGAAACGAAAGATAGTTTATTGGCAGATAAAAACCGGAGAGAGAAGGGAAAGAGACAGGCTGAGAATCCTCCCTTTTCACGACAGTAGTCTTAGAACGGCAGAACTGGAAGGGACCCTATGGGATCATCTAGCCCAACCCCTGTCAAGGAGGCCCCGTGGGGGATTTGAACTCCCAACCCAGAGACCTCAACCATCTACTGAGCTATCTAGCAGTAACCTGTTTCTTGTGGGGAGTTCTTCTTTCTGGAAGCACAGGACAGTATTCCTGTCTCTCTTCCTGAGCCAGCCTTTTATGTCTACGATTTTTAGGTCTTCCCCAACAGGAATGCAACGTATACCACCGAGACATCATGTCGGGGTTGCTGTGAATGTGACGGCTGCCTCCATGGGCCTCAGTAGGGAGTCACATAGCAGCACACACCTCTCCTCCTCTTCTCCCGGGAAACTGTTGGGGTCCTTACCTCCACCGAACCTGGCACGGCCCCCTCCGTCTTTCCCGGCTCTTGGATGTTCCTGCCCCAGAGATTCAGACTCGCTCTCCGCAGAGAAGCCTTCGACGGTTACCCCTGTTTCAATACCCAAGCACAGCAGGACCCCCTGTATCTATGGGATACGTTTAACCTATCTGTGGTCTGAAAATATTAAAAGAAAAAACCCAGAAAGACATACATTTCCAAGATGTAATTTCCAGAACTGGCCACTAGACGGAAAGCATGTTTTATATATACTGTATATATATATAGGGTTCACTATTCCCTGCTGGTTTCGGCATCCATAGGGGGACTCGGAACTCGTCCCCCACAGACATGGGGCTCCTACTGTAACACCGTCCATGATTTTTCAGCACCGACAGTATCCCTCCGGATCTCCCTCTGTCTCACGTTCTCTCCATGCTTGCCTCCAGCGCTTGGCATCCCTCAAGACGTCCTCCCAAGGTGCTCTTCTGAGAGAGTCTGTGGTACCCCCTCCGAGGCCCTTTCATGCTCCCCGATGAACTGAAGCACGGGTATGGAGACCCCAAGCTTTCAGGGCTTCCCTTCCAGCCGCAGAGCCACCCTCTGCCGCGTGTCTCAGGGAGAGCCTTTCACGTCCTCAGGCAGAAAAGGGGAAGACGGTGCAGAGGGTCATAGGTCCATGAAGGAGCGCCCCTTGGCGCCGTGGCGTTAGTGGCAGACGTCTGGCCCTCCCCTTCCAACGGTTTTGCTCCAGTTTCTGCAAAACGCCCCACTGGGCCCTCCTGCTTCGCTCGCTTTTTGCTCTTGAGCTTTCCGGGACAAAGAACAGATTTACATGGGACGGGGTAAAGGTTGGTGCATGCCAATCGAAATACATGAGTGGAACCTTCTGTTTTCTAATAGCAACATGGGAGCCCTTCCCTCCCCTCTTGGAGCAGAGAGTGGAAAACGGGCCTCAAAGCTCTCTCCTTTCACCAGTTTATAGCTCAGTATTATTGCCATCTAAACTAAAGCGACGGCTACTTTCTTTTGCAACAGGGAACTGCATTTTCATTCAGCGTGACGTCGAGACTCTGATCCCTGTCCAGAATATTTAAAAATGGCTTCCTCGGCGTTGAAGCGATTCAACCTCCTGTTGATTAGGAGTGTCAGTCCACAAACCAAAGAAAGGAGAGAGAGAGAGAGAGAATCTTCTTTCTATGGTTTATTCGTTCTAATTTCTGGTTCGGTTTCAAAGATGAACTGATGATGGAGGATTAAGGGGCTCGTTGTAGGCCCTGGTCTCCTTTCCCCTCAAAAAAAGCCCCCTTCTGTGGGAAGAACCTTCTTCTGCCCGCCGGTCTCCAAGTTCTTCTCCCTGAGGAATCACCCAGCAGATCTGCTCTGCTTTTCACGAAACAAATCTGGCAGCAGACAAGCCAGGAGGAGAGGCGAATAGGGTGGGTCAAAAGAGAAGATCGGTTGGGCCATAACGGTGTGGTCCGGCCAGTGGTCCTCTTAAATCATTTCCAACATCCCCGTGGAGGGAAAGGTTTGGATTTAGTGCCCCTTCATCTGTGTTCATGTCTGCTCAGCTAGCCCTTGGATGTCTTCACCAGTTAGCGACTGGACTGCTACCAAGGCCGCTCCTCGGACTTCTTTCTTAAAATGGCTGTGGAAGGAGCGAGGCCACCACCGACGGGGCTCCACCAGCTTTGCTCTGTCCGTGTACTCCAGATGTGTTTGACCCGACCACAGCAGGGGTTATTCTAGGTTGACACCCCGACACGTTTCCATGGATGTTCCAAGTGCTCCCTCTGCTCATGAGTGAGAGATAATAATGGCGTTCTGGATGTTGAGGGACAAAAACTCCTAGGGTGCCTGCCTGCCAGACACGCCATCTATGGCTTGAGGACAGAGGTTGTCACCCCCCTAAGAGCTGGAGGTCCACGCGGAGCCACCAAGAAGTCAGTTAAGGTGGTGATGAGAGCACGTAACCACAAAGGAGGGCATCTATCGATAAAACGGGTGGGAAGATCAAATGGATTTACCTGTTCTGTTGCCTGCCTGGTCTGGCTCATATATTTAGAATTTTAATTTGAAGGTAGTACATCCCATCAGCAGAAAAGTGGCTCCCCCTTTTCCCCCGCCCAGGTGCCACCTGGGGCTGTATTTGGACTGGACAAGCCTTCAAGGCCTCTGTAAAATAGGGAAGTTCAAAGGAACTCTGAAGGTGGCCATCGCTTGAACTCCTGGCAAGAATTCTTCTCCCCAGTCCCCCTTGGAGAGGTGGACTGGGGACCCTGTTCAGGCGTTATTATATCAGCTGGTGTTCTGGAGCAGGAAAGAGGGGGAGTGCCAGAAAAGGGTGGGAGCGCCTCCCTTCTCAGCATCACTTGAACTCCTGGCAAGAATTCCTCTTCTTCTCCCCAGTCCCCCTTGGAGAGGTGGACAGGGGACCCTGTTCAGGCGTTATTATATCAGCTGGTGTTCTGGAGCAGGAAAGAGGGGGAGTGCCAGAAAAGGGTGGGAGCGCCTCCCTTCTCTTGTTTTACTCACAGTTTTCACGCCGAGTCAGAAGATGACTGGATTGCTGGTCATGGGAACGGCAACGACTCCTTTCGCCTGAGACTCAGCCTGGAAACCGTGAGCGAACGGATCATCAGAGCAGAGCAGGGCTGGGTGCTTCCTGCTAACCGGGTTGAGAACACTGGCTGATTTGTAATAGGCCCACCGCTGGGATCAGACTGAAATAATACACTGAAACAGGGGTTTTTTTGGGGGGGGGAAATACCTGACCTCCCCAGGTGCTATCTGTTTTGTAGAGGGAATGATCCCATAGAAAAATAGGGGAAAAATTGCCTGTGGCACACGCACACCCCGTCATCTTAGAAAATTATTGTAAGTGTTTGTTCACAGCTTGTGAACGTCCTAATTGAATGTTTGCAAAATTGCCAGCGTTCACCTCTTCAGAAGAAAAATGGCATTCACCTTATCTCAACACATCTTCTTTCCGGAGTTCTGAGTTTTCCTCCTACATCACTCGTGTGTGTGTGTGTGTGTGTGTGTTTTTGTGTGTGTGTGTGTGTGTGTGTGTGTGTGTGTGTGTGTGTGTGTGTGTGTGTTTTAAAGAGAAAACATTAAGTTGTCCTTTTCCTTTTTTTTAAAGCTAAAAGCTGCACCTCAGGATTTAGCTGTTCAACTTAAAGTGTTACCAAAAAAGGTCACAATTCATGTCCTCTAAATGCATGGATGGATTGGGAAGAGCCATAAGTCCAGAGCCTCCGTGGAGGGTGTCTGGGCTTGTCCGTTTGGTTCACATCAGGGCTGGGTCCCAAAGAGATAACAGCATGCAAATCCTTGCATATTGGTCAGCAGGCATAGTGGCTCAGTCTTGAGGTTGGAGGAGGCGGGTGAAGAGAAGCCAACAATCTTTTAAGAACTGCTGGTGAAGCAGTGGAATTGGGGAAAGCACCAAGACAAGACACCTTTCTTGTCCTGTACACATCCATCACTGCCAGTCAAGAGGATGTGAGCCAACAGGGCAAAATTTGAGAGAGAGAGAGAGAGAGAGACTAATGTTTCTGATGGTTCTGTCCCTACCAATGCCAGTGGAATCAGAACTTTCTTCTTTTCTGCAAAAGATAGGTGTCAAAAACCAGGGCCGGATTAAGACCTTTAGAGGCCCTGTTTTTTGACACCTGTTCTAGTCTGAAAAGATAACACGCGGCAGGTCCCACAGCTTGAAAAACTAAACATTTATAATGCACACATTGTATGCCAGCGGTCGGGAGTTTGATCCCCCACTTTGGCTCACTGACAAGAGCTGGACTGGATGATCCCATGGGGTCCCTTCCAGCTCTGCCATTCAAAGGTGGTGGTGGTGGTGGTTGTTGTTGTTGTTGTTGTTGTTGTTGTTATTATTAAAGAAAGACTTCCCTCCTTTTGATTGGGCAATTGTCTTCCGAGGCATTTCAGCTGCGTTCTGTCATTCATGCTTTAGGGTCAGAGGCTCTGTGGGTCTTGCCCCATTAAGACACCCCCCCCCTTGGCCCTCCTGCTGCCTCCATGGCCTGAGCCAGCCCCTCGCCCCAGGCCCCTCTCCGGAAAGGAGAACCGGGGAGGGGGGGCGGCTTCTCCACCCTCGTAACTGATGGTGATCCTCTCTTGCCCTCCAGGGACTTATCTTGGATGTTTCAGTGATGATTCCAGAGAGAGGACGATGAAAGGTGCCGTGTTTTATGATCTCAGGAAGATGACGATTTCTCACTGCCAGGAGGCTTGTGCCGAGAGGTAAGCAAAGTGGTATATTTTGTTTTCTTTGCCTTTTGTGTGCAAAGTGTGGCAGGATAAATCAGTCAGTTTTTGCGCTTATCCAGTTGGAGGCCTGTGGCTTCCAATTTCCACATCAGATGCCAAATAATTTATTACACCCTAAACGCACAGATGAAAAATTACATCTGCTCTTGAATGCATCTCCCCCAATATGCATATTTCTATGCGCTTTAAATAGCCACGTCATGAGCTGCACTTTTTATTCGAGGCTTGAAAAAATTAAAGTCTTGGATCACCTTTGTGGAAACACTTCAATCCAGTGGCTGGAAGCTTTTTAGCCCAAAAAAGTAGCTTCTCCGATGCCGTAGCTCTCCGGTCTGAGATTTGAACAAACATGCCATTTGGGACTGTCTTCCCTGTATTCGAACTGGACTGAACTACTCTAACATCACTGCTTTGAAGGCACTCCTCGTTGAAGCCAGTCCCTCCTCCAGCACTTCTGGGTCTCCCACCATCTCTGCCATGTCTGAAAATGAAGAGGGGGAGAGAGAGAAGAAAACCTGTTTAGAAAGTCCCTTCGTGGTCTGCTAGGTTATAGACGGGGGAAAGGGATCTGGGTTCAAACCCTCAAGCTGCTCCTCCAGGCACGGCTTGAGGGTTTTGGAAAGGACCCTTGCTTTTGTGCAAATTGTGGGGAATTGAATAAGAGAATGTTAACGCTCTTGCTTCCAGGTAAAGAATCCTGGTGGATTTCAAAATTCTTCTCCCACTGGTTTCCTTGAATTGACAATTGATAAATGGAGGCAACATGGCACATATATCCTTCATGTTCTTGGTATTAAGCGTGCCCGTTTTGTCCGAACTGAAGCTTCTTCAACTGTTGTCTACGACACCTCCACACACGGCGTACCGTCATGTCTTTTGTGCGGACATCCCAAATTTTCTTCATCGTCCAGGACACGGCTACAGCCCTCGCTCCGCTCTCTGGACCAAGTATGGGCAGCTTCTTCTTGTCCAGGGCCCAAAACCTACTGTAGGCGACGCATCTCCTCTTTTCCACCACTTTGCTAAGAGCTGGTGCGTGGGAAATCCCGGTGTCTCACCACT